TTACATAAAACTCTCTCTTATACATGAGTTGCTGTGGATTTGTTTCTCCAAAGTACCTAGACTAATACACCCCCCCTCCACGTGCAGCAGCAGAGACTCATGCCCAGGCCTGAGCCATCTGACCACGGCCACGTTGGGGCCCCTCGTGGCAGCCACTGTGCCCGTCCATGTCCTGGAGGGCCTCCCTCATTCGCGTTGCCCTGCTGCTTTTACCAAGCACGGTGCCCTTCTGAGGGGACTGGGCCTCTGCAGGGCACCCGCAGACCGTGGGATGGCGGTGAGTACTGAGGGTGTCTGCAGGGCACTGGCAGCTGCCGGCTGACCCCTCAGGTCCCGAGCTGCTCAGCTCAGGCACTCACTCCGACCACTACCCTTCTCTGGGCTTGTCTCTGAGCCTCCTGGGAGGGGCTGAACGGCATGCAGGCTGCTTGATGAGTGTTCCGTTTGCATAATTTCAAAGGAAACATCCCAGCGAACCAGGAACCTGCATCCTCAGCAGATCCTAAAATACTTCAAAGAGCTCCTTGGTGCTCAGTGGGAGGGGATTGGGGGAAGGCTTCTAGCTGGGGGCCTGGGTTCCATCAGGGGGCTGAGCAGCATCCCCATGCCCCAGGCCTAACCACACAGAGCAGCCCTGGTCTTCTGCCCCCCATCCACTTGGCTCGTGGGGACCTCCAGTCTCTCAGAGGGGAGCTCTGCACCCCTGGGTTATTGATGGATGTACTAACTGGGGTAAAGCCTGGGGAACCACTGATTCCGTCCCATCTCCTCGGCACATGTTCAGTGCAGTCAAGTAGGTGTGACCCGCAGCAACCCTGACACAATGAGATGAAACGTTCCTACGTCTGAGCCCACAGATGCAACCCCTGTGTCCATCCATCTTCTTCAGTGTCCCACTCCTCAAACAGGAGGTCCTTCTCCAGGGACGGGTCTCTTCTGACGACATGTCCAAAGTACAAGAGGTGAATCTCACCATCCTCGCCTCTGAGGAGCGCTCCGGCTGCTCCCTTCCGGGACAGGCCTGTCTGTTCCTTGCTGACACCGTTCGTCAACAGCACTGAAGAGCAGACTCTCCTTCCGTCTTGTTGACAACCCCCTCCCCCCGTGGTGGGGGGGCCCGGGGGGACTCAGGGAGCCGGAAAACAAAGGAAGAGGAGAGGAAGGAGACCTGGGAAGTTTCCGAGGAAGAACAATCCGGAAAGACATCTCTAGT